CGGGCCGGGCTCCTCCCCGAGCAGCCGAGCTCCGAGCGGGCAGCTCAGCGGGGCAGGAGCTCCCTCTGCCGTCACAGCGCTGCTGCAGGACTCAAACCCCGCGTATCGAACCTGACAAGCGGGACTTCTCCCCGCAGGGAGGCGTGCCGCGGCAGCCAAAAAGGACCCACAGTGAAGCCGGGTACAGCTCCTGCGACAGTGCCTCGGCCAGGGTTTGCTCAACAGCAGGTGAAAGAAAACCTTGTCCCCATCAAACCTCTTAAGCTCTAGCCACGCACCTGGTGGGTGGTTATTCAGTTGTAAAAGGAAATCCCACCATGACTGCCAAATAGTTGCTACTGTTTTCCAAAGCCACAGCATAGAAGACTTACTAAGATGCAGAAGCAGCACCACTTAGGTGACCTTTATTGCTTGTGTGACACCTGCAGGGAATGACAAAGACAGCATCACCATGCACAACAGATACAGAAACATCTCTGAGAAATCTTTCAGAAGAAAAGAAGTTTTGAAGTTGGTACCTCTATAAGCTCATGAGCTAGGTTTCTGATTTACAAACTCTTTTTTAAAGCTGGTATTTGAAAATGGTATAGAAATGCTTCTTTACTCGAGTACCAAGTGAATGAACTTATTTCACAAAAATATAGTTTAGTTCTATTAAAATTTCTTCTGAAAATAAATGTTTCTATTTTTCTGCTATGGCAATAAATTACAATGTATCACAAATGTAGGCTTTAAGCAGATTTATAAATAAGCAGGGATTAAGTGTTCCACCTACAGTTTAAGTGAATTCAAAGCATTTTAGTCAGAGATAAGATGAAGGTGCATTTATAATCCAAACTCAATTTGTCAAGGTAAATACATACAACTGAAGTAGATGTAATGGGATTTAATGCTGTGGTTCTTGTAGATAGGATAAGTACTCCTGAATGATCTGTTCCTCTTCCTCCAGTGTTAAATCCAGATAATCCTCTTCATGTTCAGGAATATCCTCTATGATTTCATTGACTGCTTCAGTCTCCATGTCTTCATCTGTTGGTGAACTAGAAGAACCTTCCAAGACAGAAAGAGCAGCAGTGAATTCAGGGCTGGCCCTCTCCCTCTTTCACAAGCTCTGTGAGTATGTTCCTGTACAACTCTCTTAGTTACAATCCCTGCAGTGGATACTGCAGGATGGCTATTTATTTTCTCCTATTATTTAAAGCTGTAGGAAAGCTCCTAGTTGTGCAACAGGGATCACCACAGCTCTGACAACTAACAGAGGAGTACGTGCAAGTCTTCTCTTTGCTAACTGGTATCAACTACAGTTCTACCACATAAGGGACATGAAGAAGGAAAAGGTGATCAAATCATCACCATTGTCAGTGGTAGGCCAAGGGAACACACTGCAGCAACTTAGTACTTGCTCTCTGAGAGAGTTGGTTTGTTTTTGAAGGGAACTGGTGTGACCCAGCATAATGACATGGGAGAAGCCTGAATTGCTCATGGGCTCAAAAGTGTTTCTCACTGGGGATGTAAGGACACACAACACCTGAGGCCTCCAGACTTGTGTGCCAAACCCACAGCCCACCTAGTGGCAGGTTCCCAGGACACCTCTGAAGGTCACCCTTCCTCCGGGGCTGCTCCCACCTCACACACTGCCTGCAGCTGACACATGTCCAGGGCTGTCCCTGACTGCAGGGGCCACAGCCTACCTGGGGTCACGGATGCCTGGCCTGAACCCAACAGAAACTAGCCTGGGGCATTACTGCAGGCCCCCTATCACTATTGAAGCAGAAATCAGTGGTTTCTCATGAAAGCCAGGACAAGCCCCTTGCCCTCCTCTGCCCTCACCTGCAGAGTCTGTGGGTGAGAGCTCTGATGAAGCTGACTCCTCGGAGGGGCTGGCTGCCTTGGGAGCCGGCCGCAGCGCCGCAGGCAGCACGCCGCCGTAGTGGACCAGAGTCTGGCAAGCCAGCTGCATGTTGCCCTTGAAGAGCTGTAGGGCTTGCTTTGCTGACTCACGGTCAAAACCCAGGTACACCAGCTACAGGAGGGGGGAAAACAAAAAATCAAAATCTAGAGAAGCCCAAACTCATCCAGCACCAGGGTCTGACAGGAATCTGGCTGCGTCTGCCAGTCGGTCCTCTTGCACAGAGGAGAGCGCTGTGTGCCAGGAATTCCAGGACACTGACTCTGGTTTACTGGAACAGTTAAACAACAGGGCAATGACCTATTACAGGAATGGGGATCTTGAGAAGAATCAAGAGCCTCTTGTTTGACATCAGACCAATTCTTTTTCTGTAAGAGGAAACTTCAAAGCACTCCAGCACATCAGAAGTGTGCACACTGTTATTTACTTCTTCTAAGCAATAGTTTTCTTGCCTGACACTGATCAGACAGCTTATGATGAGAAAGACACATTCCACCTCTTCCCCTTGTGTGCTGCAACATTTAGAGACTTGAACACATTTCTCATTGGCTGTCTTTGTTGGGACAGAGTATTAGAGTGGACACACAGCCCTCTGTATTGTGTGTGTAACAGGCAGGAAGCACACACCAATTTCATTTCAACCCGAGTGTGACTTCACCATGAAAGGCAGGATGACCAACAGTGGGACAGCTCGAGTGACACAGGTCCAAGAACATATGTATAGCTTTGCTTAAGGAAGATCTGGAGTGTTTGAAGGTGTAATTCAGAAACAAGACAACCAACTCCTAAGCAAACAAGCGGTCTGACTTACACATTCAAGGTTTTCCTGGGAAAACTGAAACTGGTCCGTGGTCTCGGGATCATTGTCATTACTGTCCAACAATAACTCAGGACTGTCGAGAATAAACTACAATAAACAGAGAGGGATCAGAACAGAGGAACAGAAATATTACTGTCCTCAGCAACGACACGTATTTAGCCCAACAGCTGATGGAAGCAAACTCAGCCAACTTTGTGATAGCAGACTCATCATGTCAGGGAGTGACCTTGAGCACAGAAAGGTAGCTATGTACAAACAAACACACTAAAAAGTAAGAACCTGCTAACAACTACAAAAAAATTCAAACAAATATTTTTGAGCTTAAGTACTACTCCCAAAACAAACAAACAAAAAAAAAAAACCACAAAACCCACTTACCTGAGAGGCTTGGTTCAGGTCTCCCTGTGCATTCTGAAGAGCTACTTGAGCAGCTCTCTCTGAAAAGCCCATACGTTTCAAGGCATTTATGTTTTCTATTCGTTGCCTTCTTTTGGCTCTCTCCTCCCTCCTTATCTGTGCCTTTTCCTGTGGGAACACAGCCGTGACAACGCTCACTGTGCATGGGAATGCTTCAGCCTTCCCCAGCATACAGGGTTTCTTGGATTTACTACTTTGAGTTTGAACCTCTTGAGGAAGAGGTATTTTTTTGTTGTAATGCAGACTTTGCTGCCAGACACTCGTTACTAAGCCAAGCTGCCCTTGCAGGAGCCAGCACTGCTGCTGTACTTCTGCTCTGCAGGTCGGGTCTTACGCTGTTGCTGCTATCACGGGCCCTGCGTGGCGAGCGATGAACCCATTTGGCAGATGGGCCTGTGAGCAAGACCTGCCAAGGACTCAGTCAGAGCTGGGCACGTAGCCATGGAATTCTCTTCAGCCCTTCTCTCAGCCATTTGACTTTTCCATCCACATTTCACTGCCTGAAGTCTAGAAGTGCCACCTCAGCTTATCAAATGTAACTCCAGGCACTTCAGACCCAGACAACACCCTTTGCTTCACTTGAGCACAAAAAGCTCTTCTTGCCTCCTGAAACTTTCAGATCCAAACCTGTAATACAGTGTAGCCTGATGGTTACACCCACAGCCCCTCACTGTGCAGCCTCTTGTCTTTCAGCCCAGGAGTGACAGCTTGATCACAGTGGTTTTATTCCCATACAGAGCACCGCTGAGTAGCAAACACTGGTGCAGTGTCTCCTGCACCTCTGCAGAATCACCACAGGTCTTTGGCCTTCTCATCCCATCTGTTTTGGGACAGAACTTCCTTATTGTATCACGTTTTAGTTGCTACATGTGGCAACAGACATCAAACTGTCAGTGCCAAAGCAGGATAATCAAAGCCCTTAATTTAGCACTATGTTGCAGTGGTCACACAGAACGTGATCCTAAGGACACCCCAACTAACAGGATGGTGGATTTATTGCTGCCAGCACACCATACCTCCCTCCTGTTGGTGATGAGGTTGGCAGCATACTCCACGTTCCCGTGGCACGCGCGCAGGGCAAGGCGAGCCTCCTGTTCAGAGAACCCCATGAGTGACAGGTGATGAACTTTGTCAGGGTCTATGGACAGCTCTTCATGCAAGGAAGATGCCTATATGCCAAAAAGCAACAGTGTAAGTAGGATCATGTTGCTCAATGTACATACAAAAAAAGTCTCCCCATTTTTCTGAGTAAGCCAAGAACAGGTGCCAGACAGTGCCCAGGCACAAGAGCTACTGTAAATGCCTCTGAAGTTTCACCTAACAGTGTCTTACCCTCTGAATATATTCAGCAGCCTCCTTTTCTCTGCCACTGTGGTAGTATCCTATCCCTTGAAGGAGGTAAAGCCGTAGAAACAAAACCTTCTCCCGACCGTAGCTTCCCTAAAGAAATGTTTAAACAAGAGGAGGGGTGAGAGCACATGGGTAGAACAACTCATTATCAACAGAACACACTAACAGCATGAAACTTATTGTGCAAAAGTATCTCATCTAAAATATTGATGATGTCTGTGCATATAGACACATCTGCCACGAGGCTTTCACCAGGCCCAACACTTTCACTGTGCTGACAGCTACACAACTAGATTGCATGCTAGAGGAGACACGAGAACACTTCAGGCTTCTAAAAGTCAAGTCTTGGGATATTTCAACTGTATACAGGTAGAAAAAACCCTAATTAAACGAAAGCTGGCGTACTTTGATATCAATGAGTCTTTCATGGTTCTCCCCATAGCACCTCTGGAAGCATCTCTGTGCTGTGGAGAGCTTCTTCTCAGCATCATCCAGGCAGTCCAGCTGCTCCAGGCGGAAGTAGCACCACACTATGTCCAGCTGCAGGACCGCGTAGTTATCCACGGTGTCCAGCAGCTCCGGGCTGCACTCACTGCAGAACAAAACAAGTGCTGCCTTTCTGGCGGGGGCTGTTCATTTCCTCTCCCCCCACCACTTTTCGAACATGAAACATGCTGGAAGTTTTGCACACTCACAGGTTTGAGAAAGCACACACACACTTTGTATCTGAGGTAGCAAACTGAGGGCAGTGGAGCTCTAACAAAGCACTGGTGTCCCATCACGTTCACTAGCACGTGGGGACTGATGGCTGCACTACATCTCAGAGTTACACCACTCACCATGGATTCTTAAATAGTAACAAAACCCCTCTCTTTAGAAGCAGGATGGAATTAAACCCTGTGTAGTCTGACATGACAGACAAGCTGTCTTCCTTAGTGCATGTGAACATGCTGAGTCCTGTGCCAGTCTCCATGCACTTGCACACAGATGGGGACAATACTATTTTTGGGGCTTTCAGCAATTTAGGGCTCTGACTGCTGACTTAAAACTAGTTTTCTCCCAGAAACCCTGGTGTTGTTACTGACCTCAGCTATCTGCTCCACCTTTTACAAGAAATCATTACTGCACAGGAGCAACTGCAAACGAGTATCCCCAACTGTCTCTCAAGCTAATGCAATTTATAGCCTAGCACATGAATATTGACAGTTTCTGTTTATGTTGATATGAAAGATTAAATAGCCCAGTGGAAGTATCTGTTTCAGCTGTTTCACATCAAGCTGCCTGTCACTGCAAGTCAGAGACTTTGCTGCTGTCTCCCATCAGCAGAGGGGGTGCGAAGCAATCCCAGGTAAAACAGGCTCTGATTTATAGACACAGCAAGAGCTAAAGCTGTTTCTGTAGTGGGTTGACAGTGAAGAGACACAAGGACTCAAAAAAGTTCTTACCAGAACTGTTTATCAGCATCCAACAAATACGGCAGTGCTATTTCATATTCCTTCTTCTTCATTAAGGCCCTGCCCTTCTCATGACAGCCCATTGCCAGCACAAGTGCCTACAAAAAGAGATGGGGACTTCTTTTGCACCTCCCTCCCTCACTTTTGTAACTAAAAAGAAACATTCAGGTAACCCACTAAGAGCCCTTTTTCCTTCTAGAGAAATACCACAGCATCAGTTCTGTAAGAGCAGTACTATTTCACACAGCTTTATATTTTTCCCTTAGCTGCTCATGTTAAAATATTGTCTAATTAAAAGCAAGAAATGTTATTGACACATGAAACATTGCACCAAGCTGATCTGAAGAATGCAGCTCTAGGTAGATTTTCGACGATAAGTGATCATCATTAAGCATTTTTTTGGGTTCTACACTTCTTAACAGCAACCAAATTGTTTTGCTTTGCTATTACAACTACCTTGTAAAACCCAACAATTCACCTCCTGCTAAACTGCAGAACTGAAATAAATTCTGAATTAGGCAGGAAAACACTACCTGCTGTAGTACAAAAGGAAATGTAAATAATTCTGGATAGAAAACACCTGCAGTATTTCTTCTCACCCACATTCAATACTAACGAAATCTTCTGCACTTCAGTATTTGATGCTTTAACTCTTCCCCTGAATTACTACTTTCAGCACTTCAGAACAACATCCATTGTGAGAACAGACAGATGTTATTCCAAACATTACTTCCTCCTGAGGTCTGTTGTTGTTACTTGGTGTAATTCCAAGTATTTGTAAAGATTTTTATTTCTCTTCAGAAAAATCAAGCAATCTTAAAGGACAGCATCTATTGCTATTCCTCTGCTTCAGCAGCCAACATCAAGCATGTGACTCCCACAGTAATTCAATGCGTGCACCCAACCAAAGAATTCCAGTTGAGAATATGAAACTTTCTTGAATGGTAAACAAATTTAAATTTGAGAGAGGTTACAGTGCTGAAGATCTCAAAGTTATTTTAAAGGAGTCCAATTTTGAGAGCTCATCGAGCTTCCAGCTGAAACTGAGGCCTAATGAACTAGTTATTTTCATGTTATTTAAAATAGGTGCTAGGACATAAAGTTAAAGCTCATCTTAAAACACAAAAATAAGATATGGACCACCCAGGGGGCCATGCAAGACTGGACCTGCCATTAGATCAGCAACCAGAGGCTGGTCTCCAGATGACTGCAGTATTCCCAGATGCAGAGTTCTACTTGAATTTTATTTCAAAATTATTTCTATGAAGCAAAAAACCACTGGGCCCAGGGTTTTAGCCCCCAAGAAAGTGACTATTTCAATCCTATATTTGAAATGCTTCACAAACCAAGCTTTAAAAAGCCATCTTAGTAGCTCTGTAAGATACTTTCACCTACTGTTTTAACTTGAGGAGGAATCTCAATTGACCTTCCAGTCTGATTAGCTATATCCAGATATGGAAGAGATTCTTCATCCAGGTACTCCTCTGAAAGATAAGAAAACCCCAAATTTTAAGTACAACCTTCAACAGACTATGATGTTGTAAGATTATGTCAGTAACATGTTAAAGCAAAGTAAACAAACAATAACAACAACAATCAGAATTACATATAGAGGCTGGGTTTTTTTGACATATCCACCAACAACAGCCCTGGTCAGACAAACACAAACTCTTAGAAAGGTCACTAAAATTTGGACAAAGCATTAAGTTACATGAATGGTAAACAGTTTTTCCATAAGAAAACACCTATATTTTACATGTAATATTTGAAATGCTTTATCAAAAAGTACAGAAAAAAAACACAGCTGAGCACAACTGATAAAAGTGAAAAATACAGTATCTTCCTTTTCCTACATCTTTAATGCTTATAACCAAGCTATCAATTTTGTTTTCACCTAGTCTGATTTAAAATGAAAAGATGCTTTTCTTGCAAACAAAAGCCAGCTAAGCAGGAGTTTGCTGAGATTAAGAACTTCTGCCCTGCAATTTGTCTCAAAACAAAAAGAGTTGTTAAATCCTTTCTATGCTTCACACAGAACCTTCAGCCTCTGAGCCCATTATAGACTCCACTCTGCATTCTGGCATTGTGCTACCACTGACAGCCAGTGGTAAATACCTTAGAGGCCCTACACAGGATTCAAGGGCTGGTCTAAATCACCCCTTAAATCCATAAAAAGAATCACTTCTTCCATTTGTTCAAAATCTGATATTATAGTAAGAAATAGGCTGTCACTGACCACTAGTAGACGCTTTGTTCAGGTACTTCTGCATTTGGCAGAAATCCATTGGACTCAGTTCCAGTTTCTTGTTTGTGAATTTTTAAACAAAGTAGAGAAGTGATTTAAAGTCACCACCCAGCAATGCAATTCACAAACACAACTGCATTTTGAAAAATTATTAGTGTTAGATTGAATACATCCCTTCAGTTCAACCCACAGTTGCCAGCCATCAACATCAAAGGCACTGAGAACAGAAGAGCCATGTTACAGAGGAGAATGACAAGTGAGCTGCTCTGCACAGTGAAACCATGGTTACACACAGCCAAATCTGAGGTAAACTACAAGTGTGTAACCACTTATAATACACTATTCCTCTAAGGTTGTCTACAATAAATTTAAAGACCACTCTCAAGAGTCATTGGTCCCTTAACTGTCAAGTGCCAACAATAACTGATTCACACTATATCCTTCTCAAAGTGTTTTCCAGCATTCCAGTTGTGTACGAAGATTTGGAATAGAAGACAGTTTTAGTCAACTTAAAAATCTAGTTTTCAAGTAGGAAGAAAGCTAGAAGAGTATAAACTGAAATCCAGACATGGTACAGGCACTCTTCTATCGTGAAAGTCCACTGAAGAAAATTTTTGGTGCACAAGAATTAATGCACAGCCATCTGCCCCCACTCCCACAAAAGAAAACTAAAAACCCAAACCACCAGCCCCCTCTTACCTCTCTCTGACAGAATTTCCAATCCCTTCTTAGTTCTTTGCCTCTTGTTATCTATTTCTTGTTCTTTCTTGCATTGAAGTTCTTCTTCCTGAACTTGCAATTTTGTCTCCTCATCACTCTGCTCCAGCTGAAGTACCATCACTTTTGCATTGTGTGCCACACCCTGGTCTTCAAGGGTTTTGCCTGCAAAACAGAGCACAATGAATACAATCTAAATACTCTCACTTGTGAGGAGACACCATTTTACATTGTGTTGCCATTGTTGTGGAAAAAATACCCCTCAACAAATCCTGAACAGCCCCTTGCCTTAGACTGTACTGAAGAGCTACTCTATTAGACTCCAGAACTCAGTCATGACCCCTGGTAATTACTGACATTCAGCAGAAACTCAGAAATCAGACTTGCATCTTAAAACCTGCTTTTAAAATAACCACACGATTCTTTGCTCTTTTTTCCAAAACATGCCAAAAATATTTTTTCTATTTCAGTTAATTGATCTTCAAGCAAAACATGGAACAACATGTCTAGGATCTTACACCACAATAGTGACAAGACAGAGGAACTGCAAACTGGAGTTCCTATTGTCAATTCCATGGCTCTAATTCTGACATATTCCAAGGGAAGTAAATGTCAGATTCTTAGGCCATCAGTAAAGAGGAAGCCATTTGCCACTGCTTCCCACAACATGTCTTCACAAGTGGAACATGTGTAAAGCATTAAAATAATTTTTTTAATGTGTTGTTACACAATATAGTTTTGGAGGAAATTTAGGGTTTCTCTTAAACATGAATTTTCAGTATTTCATCACTTGAAAAATGGATTTTCAATGTTTATTACAGGGTTCCTCTAATCGTTCTGAGAATTTTGATCGTTGTAATTTAACACACTTCCTGCAGATCAGAATATGACAAATATAACTGCTATTCCTTGGGAATTTCTGAAATTAACAGAGTTGCTAGAAATATTTCTTCTGAGATTCAGTAAACTAGAATATTATCATAAAAGTATACTCAACTAGAGATACATACCCAGGTCAAGCTGCTTCTTATTTATGATTATTTTGATTGCATTTTCTTTTAATCCATGTTCCTGTGCTATTCTGTGAAATAAATTTCATCCATGAGTAAGTATTTCTAAGGCTGTATAGTATTTCTGTTAGAAAAGCAATAAAACTTAAAAATGAGTATGCTCTTAACTGGCTTAAAACTCTTGCTCCAAAAAGGTGCTAGAAATAAAACATCATAAGAAAGCTTTTTATATCATATAGGGAAAATCTGTGATACAGAAAGGGAAAAAGCAAAACAAATAATATGATTTTCTTAAGAACACAAAGAAGTAGAAGCTGATGTTCCCTGTTCAGAAGACCTGCCTAGTTAAGAGATCTGGAACACTGATCACTACGCCCTGCACCTTCTCGGTTCCTTGCTGGGAATTGGCAGAGCCATCTTCTACAGCTGCAACCTTCCTGCCTTCTGCCTGTTGAACCACAGCTTCTCTCACTGTGGTGTGGTGGGTTAACCCTGGCTGAGCATGAGATGCTCACCAAGCCACCCTAGCACCCTGCCCCTTTCCTCTCCCTCCTATGCAGAGCAAAATGGGAAAGGAAAATAAAAAGGCAACAAGCCCTCTTGGCTAAAAACAAAGGCAGCAGTTTAATCAGAAAGCAAATTCAGGCAATGCCGTGCACAGAAGCAAAGAAAAACACCAAACAAAGATTTGTTCTCTACTTCTCACCCCCAGGCAATGTCTGGACCCTTCCTGGGAAGCAGGGCTCCAAAACATGTAGCAGTTGCTCCAGAGACCAAGGAATAGCCTCCTTCCCTACCCCCAGCACTAGTTCTACAGCTGAGCTCATGTCATCTGGTATGGAACATCCCTTTGCTCAGTCCAGGTCAGCTGTCCTGGCTATGCTCCCCCCAAGCTCCTGCCCCCCATCCCAGCGAGGGGGGAGTGTTAGAAAGGGCCTTGGTGCCATGAGAGCACTGCTCAGTGGCAGTCACAAAATGGGTGTTATCAGCACCCTTCTAACTCCCAACACAAAAGCCCTGCACCAGGAGGGCTGTGATGGGAAATCAGCCCAGCCAGACCCGACACATACACGAAGAACTGCCCTACAAGAACACTGGACATCCTATTCACCCCTACTGAACCAACACACATCCTAAACAAAGCCTAAATTGAACAGATAGGGCTCTGTCTTTTTAGTACTGTATGACAGTGCATTAGAGAAGATGCAAGGGTGATTACACTTACTGTGATCTGAGTTCCTTGCCTGTGATGAACAGGTTGGTTTCCAGAGGGATTTTTCTGCACTGTAGTAATTACATTGGGTGAGGGAAAGGAGGAGGGAAGAGGGGGGAAAAAAAAAAAAGCATATCAAGATACTTTGGACATTTTCTTAATTAATTGTTTTACAACAACTACAATTTCTTTTCCAAATAATAATCAGGTTAACAGGGTTATGGTTGGGCATATATATTAGTAATTTCTGGGCAGGGAGTCTTGTACTTTCTGTAAGACAGCTAAAAATAAGCATTACAACAACAGAAGATTCAGAGTTAGATAAATCTCAATTCAGAAGCAAATGATTTAAACTGACTAATTTAATTATGCACTTCCAATCTTAACTCTGCTTTGTAATTATGCCACTCACCTGTGACTGGCTAAGTTATGATTAATTCCTATTAGTGTCTCTGGTCCCAGATTAGATAAACTGGAATTTAAAATTAATTAATTCCCCTATGCCCAGTAGCATTGTAAAGAGGACTTATTTGTTTTAACTGCACAGCAATCACTTAACGCCCTCTACCCCATCACATGCCCTGGTAATTATTTTTCACTACAGGAGAGAGAACAATTATGACTATGTTGTGTTTTTGCAATTATTTAGTAATAAAAAAATCCTTCTGAAGTGTGGGCTACCATCTAAGATCATCTTCAGTTAAAAAACACACCACGTTGCCCTTTTTCAGAGTGCACAGGCACTTCTGTTGCCAATGACTAGAACCCTTTAAATGCCCCTAAATAACAAAGTTCTTTGCCCCACTGTCAGAGTGGGTGAAGGTGTACTGAAGAAGGGAAGGTGCTGCTCCTGCACACGACCAAAACTAGGAAGTGATTTGAGACAGCTGCTGTGCTTGCTAGAGACTACTTTTAAGGGGGAAACATTCACAGTTCAGAGGCTTTGTGCAAGAAACTAACCAAGGGCCTGCTCTCTGTCCTGTGACCAACCTGCTCAACACACTTCACATCCCTATGATTGAATCCTCTCAGCCTTCAAAGCAGAGCAGTGAATCTGAAGTGCCATCTGAGATGGGTCCCTGGCCCAGGTCAGCCCTCACACTGTGCCTGGGCACTGCTTGGCAGGATGCTGGGTGGCCTGGACTAAACTGCAGAGCCAATGCTAGCAGCCTGACAGCATGAGTCTCCAAACACTGGCCAGTCTGTCCCCACCTGTGCTTAGCTGACTAGATACAGCCAGAGAATCTGGTAGGGTCTAAATAAATCATTCTGCCACTAATTTATTTGGATTCACAGCATTACTCTGGCATACTGTGTGAAACTAGAGGTTGAAGCCTGGCTTCAAAAGGGCAAGACTTAATTCAGTTCTATCGCTGTGAAAGCTTTAGGAGCCTGACAGAGAGCAGATGAGTTCCATCACAACAGAAAATCCTGCTTCTCATTTCCAAGTTCAAACACTGAACACCCATGTTTTAAAGTAAGTTTAGTTAGATGCCTGGGCTGAAATAGTTGCACAAGGATAAAGTCATCACTGTAAGAACATTGCCACATGCTGTGGTTAAAAGCCAAAGAAGGTATTTTTAATGTCAGCAGCTACATATGGCCTAAGATGGCACCAAGTTCAAGTTGCTTGTTGCACTTACAGTTGTTTTTTTTTTTAAATTAAAGCTGTCATTTAAACAAAAGCTGTGGTAATATAGTGACAATCATACACTAGTTCAACCTCAGGTATTCTACAGCTGAAAAAATACACTCGTTCTTTACTGCTAATGTGAACAGTCATGTCAGAAAGAATCAAACTGAACCAGACAGACACTTAAATCTTTTTTCTTAATTGAAAGATAGTTTCTCATTACATCCTAAAGGGAAGACAATCCCTGTTCTCCTAGCATTGTATTCCTTTGCCATGATACTCCCCCCGCCCCAGGAAGCTCAAATACACCTCAACAGCCCCCACCTCCCATTTTATATACCTAACAGATCTCTCATACAAAACACCTGAAAAAGATGAACAAGTGAAAATATTTGCTTTGGATACATATCTAGAACTGAAGAAGGCCACGGAAAAGCTACTTATCCTGACTCTCCTGCAGTGTCACTTACTTTCCTACGAGGCAGGTAGATATCAAGCCTTGCAACCCCAGTCACTTTGAAGTTTTCATTCCCTGTCCCACGCTCAATGGCTTTACACCGTATTTCTTCCAGCATGTCCTCGGCATCGCCCTCGTCGATCTTCAGCTTGGAGGAGTACTTCTGTACAAGATCCTAGGAAAGCAGCACAAAACACTTGGAAAATGCACCCGCAGCACGGCACGGTAGACAAATGACATCAGCTCAGAATGAATACCTACCTTCATCTCTTCCCCAGGTTCTTTTTCTTCGTTTGTATAGGGTGGTTTCCATAGCTTGATTTTGTCCTCTCTTAAGCAGCTCGTCAACTTCGCTATTAAATACTTTTTTTGTGCCATTCTTTTAAAAGAAAAGCACAATTGGAAAAGAAAGAAAAAGAATCAGCCTTTTAATATAGCTTTCCTGTGCTAAGGTACTGTACTTTTTCAAGAATTCTGAGTGACAGTTTGAAATTCTGCAAAAAACCTGAATATAAGATGCAGTGCATGCATTGGGAGCCCAAGTCCAAACTGTTGGCACAAACCTTGCACTAAATCCTCATTTATCAGTTTCACTTTTCTTTCATAGCTGTTTCACTTTCTCATTCCTGTTTATTAGTGCATTGCTCTCAGCAGTAAAGGGAAAACAAAACGCAAACATTTCTATCCATTTTTCCCTGTTTCAAAGACTGTTCCTCGCTCAGAAAAAAAAAAAAAAACAAACACCACTATTTGAGTGCAAAAAAACCACAGGCAAACATCCAACATGTGCTAAGTCTACTGGTAACCTTTCATCAACCTCAGCTTTACCAAGCTACAAAGAATCTTTAAGCACTGCAAAGAGAATAGTCTCTTCTAAAGCAGAGCAGAGGCAGAAGGATGAACTGAGGCAGAAGATAGTTTAATAATCCTCCCTGATAGATTGTATGTCTGTCCAAATTAGGACAGGCAACCACGCATTCTTTTTCTTGCTAAGATGATGTTATTATAACTATTATTATAGGGCCAAGGTAAATCACATTTACAAAGCAGAGAGCAACAGACCTCAATTTTCAAAAGCTTTTGTTGAAGTTATTCATGCAGCTTTTCCCTTTTTTAAACCATTCTGGGCAATTCCCATCCACAACCTGTGGCTGTCATTTTCCTACTTTCAGGTGATGCTGAAGAACCATTTTAAAGCTGTAATTCTACTTAATAATAACTTAAGAAACAAAAAAAATGTATCTATGGCTTTGTAGCACCCATATAAAGTCTGAAACTGCAACTTATACTTTAAGGTAGGTTGCAACCTACACCTTAAGACTACGAACTGTAAGTAAGAGTGGTATTTATAAATGGGTCATCTTTTTATCAAGATTATTTTATAGTAGAAGTTTGTGATTTCTACTAAGCTATTAAAACAGAAAACATCACTGAATTATCCAATTAACTTATTCTTCCCAACCCTCTACTAAAAAAAAACAGAAAAAAGACATTTTGCTTTCACAATCATATGTCTATGATTCCACCAGTTACCATAAATTCCTAGTTCACCATAACTAAATTGCTAAAGAATTCTCAGCAAAACTATTCATGACTTAATTCTTCCACCAGCAACACCAGAAGTTCTCCTAACACACTTTCACTTTCAGTAAGAGCTTAAACGAACTTTCTCAAAACCGATTTAACTATCAGGGGTATTTCAAAAGGGCCTGAGGTTTTTGCAATTAAATGTCATCCTCTAAAACCAGGTAGTTTTACATATGACATAAAAGAACACAATTACATAAAAGAAGATTCAAAACCCAGACTTTTGATGGTAGGAACCAAGGATTCTCAGAACGGTTTGCTAAGAAAGCAGTACACGTTAATTTTTCCTAAGACAAGGAGGACAGCTACGCAGCACAACTGTGAAGCATCCCTGCACAGCTGAAGGAGGGGTAAAGGCCTGGAGCAGCGTCACATGAAAAAAAACCAGGAGCTCAACGAAAGGATGGAAACCCACCACTCACTCCCAGCCCGGGGACCTGGGGTGCCCTGAGGCCTCCCCAAGCGCACCTCTCCTCTAGCACGACGCCACCG